TTGCCTTCATTTGTCTTCTACTAGAGTCACCACAGCAATTTTTATTGTCATTTCTTATGAAAATATTGATGCTGATGATGGGGTGTCCACGCACTACGGTGATGAAACTTAATGCCCAGTGCTTTGATGTCTCCTTGGGTGAGTTGGAGTGTGAAGGAGGCTCCATTATCTGGCTCTGGATAGATCTAGGCAGTCCAAACCTAGGAATCACTTTTTTAAGGAGGACCTTTACCACCTCCAAGGCCCGCCCATTCTGACCTGATGTCCACCTCATAAAAGTGTCAGTGCATACCAGGAGGTGGGTGTACCCCTTACACATGGGCATATGGGTGAAGTCCATGTGCCAGACTTCTCCAGGGGAGAACCCACACCTTTGTACTGGTTCATTCAATGGAGTAGGATGGATCTGGGTATTTTGGGGGGCACAGACAGTGTGTCTTTAAGACCCAGGATACAACTTTATAGAATCCCACTAGGCATGGTTTCAAGCTGATCCCCGACAGTTTCACTGTTCTGTTTTTGAAGTTGTAGAAGCTGAAGCAGGGTAAGGCAAGGCTACATTGTGTCTAGACAGTGATTGGTTTTAATTCTGCTATGGCATACTGTGGATAAAAACAAAAGAATTTCAATGACTCTATCTATTCCAGTATAAAATCAAAAGTATGCTTTAAGATAATTAAAGGGATTAAGTTGGCCAAATAGTTTTAGAACATTTTTCCCAATCATCAATTTATTCATCAAAGTCCTGATTTTGTTAGTACATGGATAAAATTTTTTAGAGGCCCTAAGTATCAACAGTGACATTTTGATGGATGTTTAGGGCTGTGGGCATTTTGACAATGCAGATTCTACTTACCCAGGAGCAAAAGACATCCTTAGATTTTTTAGTGTCTTCTCCAATGGCTTTTTTCCAAGTCCTGTGATTATTTTTGCAGAGGTCTTTCACTTCCTTAGTTAACTTGATTACTATTTATTTTTTCTTGACACTACTATAAATGTTACTGTTTTCATAAATGCTTTTTCATTTAGTTCATATATTTACAAATGTTACTGTTTGTTGATTTTGTATTCTGTTACATTGCTGGAGTTGGTTATGAATTCTAGGAGTTTTGAGGGTGAAATCTTTGGTTCTATGTAGAGTGTCATGTCATCTGCAAATAATTATAATGAATTTTTCTGTTAGAGAAAAATAAAATTAAAGAATGTTGTGCTTATATTAGTCATAGAGTAACTGCTTGCTGCCTTACCCTTACCCTATTGTATAGTTACACAGACGACTAACAGTCTAGCTGAGGTCCCTTGAAAAGCCTAACCGCAGTAGCTTGCCCCTCGAGTAGCACATAATGTACCTTATAAGAATCTTAACACATAGCTTGAAGGCTCAGCTTGGGATGATTCGCTCCACTAAGGTTTAAAGTTCTGGGAAAAAGAAAACTTTAACCTGAAAACTCATGTGATACCTGACCCCATGTAAGTCTGTGTAGCCTAAAATGTATAGAAGCAGAGTGCAGCCTCAATCTAGAGTCAGTCTCGAGAGCTATGTTGCGTTGCCGGGCCGAACTTGCTTGCAGTATACTTTGTTGTTTTACCTGAGTTCTGTCTCTCTGTGTGGTTCTTCTGCCCTTGTGACACCTTCCGCAACAATCCCTTTTCTATAGGTATCTCTTTTTTAATTCATTAATTTTTTTTTTTTTTTTTTTACCGGGGATCGAACTCGGGTCCTTGCGCTTGCAAGGCAGGTCACCGAACCGCTGAGCTAAATCCCCGGCCCTTTAATTCATTAATTTTATTGGTACACTTGAGATATGCAATATGGTAACATTTATCATTGGGAATTTGTACCTTTGCATGTTATGTCTTGGTTCCTACTTTTCCCCATCCCCCTGCCCTCCCTTTCACCCCTCCATCCCTCCCTATTTACAAAGACTTTTTTTTTTCCTTTTCTCCTATTTATTCCTTTCTCATCCCCTGCCCCTCCCACTTCCTCTTCCCCTTTGGGCCTTATCTTATTATTTCATTATCTGTTATACATTTTTATCCTTACTTACACTTTCAGTTTCTCACACCAGAGAAACTTCAGTATTTACACGTGTGCTCCATTTATTTCACTTAAGAAAATGGCCTCAGTGTGCATCCATTTAGCTATAAATGTCTCTAGTTTCTCATTCTTTATGAGTAAGTAGTACTCCATTTTATTTTTTAAAATCCCCGTCTTCTTTGTCCAGTAACCAGTTGATGGTTAACCAGTAACCAGAAATTAGGGTGTTTCCAAGTTTTAGCTAGTATAAACTGTGCCACTATAAACTTGGGTGCACATATATCCCTGTGCTATGATTCTTTGAATTGTTTTGGGAAGATACCCAGAAGGGGAATAGCTGGGTCACATGGAATCTCTAGTCCTTTTTTTTTTTAGGTATCTCATACTGATTTCCACAGTAGTTGCACCAGTCTACATTCCAAACAGTGGCGAAGGGTTCCTTTTTTCCCACAACCTCACCAGCATTTGTTATTGGTTGATTTCTTGATAGCAGCCATTCTTTCTGGAGCAAAGTGGAATCTTAGCATTGTTTTCATTTGCATCTTGAATGACCAGTGATGTTGAACATTTTTTCATATGTGTATTTACTGTTTCTACTTATTTGTTTGAGAAATGTTTGTTCAAACCCTAATCCTTACCCTATGTATCTCTTTTTATTTTTCTTTTCTTATTGGCTGGCTAATATTTTGAGTACTACATTGAATTAAAGAGATGATAGTGGCCATCTTTGTCTTGTTTCTGATTTTAGAACGAATGCTTTCAGCTTTCCCTCAATTAATACACTATATAACTGGCTTTTACCCAATTTAAGTTGGTCCTTCAATACTTATTTCTTCAGGGTTCTTATCATTGAAGGGGTGTTGGATTTTCTCAAAACAACTTTTTTGCATCTATCAGTGTGATCATATTATTTTGATCTTGCTTTTCTTTGTGAAATATATTGCTTTTATTGATTTACATATGTTGAACCCCACCAGGGAAAGAACCAAGACCTCCTGAGGTGCTTGCTGAAGGCCATGGGAATATAGAATAGGTGGTAAATTGTTTCTGATGGGCCTCTTCCCTTAATATCTTTCTCACCAGTTTTCCGGTAATGTTCCTTCCAAAGTCTTGGTCATCTGGCCAGATCATTAGCTCCGGCTCTTGAATCATATAAAATCACACATCTGCTTATTTCTCCTTCCAGGCAAAGTATACTACCAGTTGCACTGCTGAAAATTGTGGCCACTGTGAAGATGTCCTTTCTCTGCTGTTCTTCAGGGCTGTCCTGGAAAGGGGCTATAATACTGCGGGTATCCACTTGGGGGTGGTGCCTGCATAAAGAGCAGAAGCATTTGTAAACTCAGCCTCTAGCGTACTCTTCCTCTGACAGCTGATCATATGGTACACCCCATGAAGCCATAGGTGCATTCTGGGAAACAGAGGCAATATGGCAAGACTAAAAGCCTACAGTGTCCGGGCAGCTTCATATGTAATTTACTTGTACACTCTGGATCTGCTCTTGCTCAATCACATATATACCATTTCCATGTAGCGATAGACGGTTGCTGTGTACGTCCAAACTAATGACTTGGTGGATCAGATAATATCCAGCTCAGGATAGGCAGATCAGGTCACATGGTAACCTGGAGTCCCATGGTCAGTCATTCAGTTTTCAGTAAGGCCCAGCAGCAGGCAAAGAGCTATTTTTGAAAGGGAAAGAAGTTGTCCGCACCTGATGACAGAACCTTGCTCCAGAGATCTTGAAGATATTCAGTGCAGTTCACCTATGGGGACCTGCCAGAGACACCAAACGGCCTGTCTCCCTGCCACCAACACTTTAAGATGAGATGTACACAGCCCTAAGAGGAAGGGTCATGACCATTCCCTTGACCCCTCCTGGGCTACAGATCTCTTTGGTGCGTTGCATCCAGCTTTGCAGAACAGTTCTAGAAAGAGTGGTGACAGCCACAAGCTGCAGAGCAGTGGAAAATTGGTGACATATATGTAAAATTTGTCAGGGGCTTTGTCCTTTCAGAGGTACTGACTGTTTGCCATTGGAAGTGGTTCTGCTATGCAAAGAGTTGCTGGGGTCACACGGAAATACGTTTCTATAAAGAAAATTTATGGAGGTCATTCATAGAAAAATTCATTTATATAGTCTTCTAGAGAAAGGATTAATACGTTTGGCAGTTTCTTTTGTTCAGGAAATGGTTGTTAATTTTATTGTTTTTTATTGTAGCTACAAAATATCTGACATAGAGAATTTAAAAATAAAACGATTATTTTAGCTGATGGTTTTAGAGGTTGAAATCGGTTGTTTAATTAGACTTCGACAGAGAAATGTCATAGTGTAAGGAAATGAAAAGAGAAAGATAATTGCTACAGGAGAATCAGGAAGCACAGAGCAAAACAGCTACCAGAAGGGAAGGGAGAGGGAGAAGATAAGGTCCCTAATGTCACACTCCCATGACTTAACCAGACACAGCAGCAGTGAACTATACTAATGTCCTACGCACTTACGCCAAAGATACTCATCAAGAGCGTCGCCAGACTCCAGGTAATATTTTCCATCTAGCAATATTAATGTGATGAAAGAAAGAGAGTTGCAACTTTTGAGGAGACAACTGCAGGGCAGTTGGTGATCCATCCCTATAAGCGCAGCACTGGGCTGACTGGATCACAGCGAGCTCAAGACCAGCCTGAGCTAAACACCGAATTCAAGAACAGACTAAATTACATAGCAGGACCCTGTCTTAAAAAGGACAGAAGCGGCCCTAAGCCTGGAGTAAACTGTTCTTAAATGCAGGCTGGGACAGGTCGGCATCCTGACGGACAGACAAGCTGGTGAAGAAGCCCCTGGGTTACAGCCTCCCGTCAGAGTTGCCCTCACGTTGGCAAGGATGGGCTTCTGTTGTCACTCTCCGTTCAGAGGGCGGGCAGTGGGGCAGGAGCCAATCAGCGTCGAGGGGCGGGTTTATGAACTGCCCAATCGGGTGGCCTGGGGAGGCGGACTGGGTTTCCTTCTCCGAAGCCCGGATCCTGAGGAGTTGAGAGCCGCTCCATCTGATGTCTGTCTCTCGGCTGCGGGCTGCGTGGGAAGGACGCCGGGAGACCCTCCAGCCGCGCAATGGTGACGTTGTGGGTCGGGGGCCC